GCCGCCGGAGGAAGGCGGTGACGAGCTCTCGTCCTCTTCCGTTGAGGGACCTCCGGCCTAGCGCAGGGTGCGGCCCATCGGAATCGGGATGGCAGTTCCGGGACTTTTTGGTGGTGGCTTCGCTGCTGCGAGGGCTGGCCAGCGGCTACCTATGGATCTAAGCAGCGGCGGCCGCGGCGACATGTATAGCGGTGGTTGAAGAATCAAAACGGAGATGTCATCCATGGCGGCGGCGGTCACTTGTAGTTCAACTCTTCCCTGATTTGAAACAGAACACTACAAATCAGGATAGTGTGTGGCCATGGGTGTAGTTCGACAACTGAAGGGATTCATTTTCCCAAGCTTGTCATCGGCTAATGGAAAGGACAGCATGGGCCTGCTGGAGGGGCCCTTGACATGGGTTTCGGCAGTGCTTGGCAGTCGCGTCGTCGCCTGTCAGCAAGCTCATATGAGCACAACTTTGGTCGCGTTGATCAACCGTGCGCGTGAGCAATGGTTGGGAAGCCCAACAATCAGGCTGAAGACATTATGAGATGTCATGTTCCATTGTCCTCGTGCACGAGATGCATATTCGTTGCCAAGTGGTCTGGGCGGCATTATCAAAGACAAAAGGAATGAAGGTGGTGGTCAAACGGATGCGACAAAACATCATGCCTGCATTTTGAGGTGCTAATTCAGTACCAGGACTTGAGTTTCAGGGTGAAAACCCTTGGTGTGACCTTCGTTGGTCATACCTGGCAATAACGGTGTTTCGACATCGTTACCTTGTTAAAGGCATTGCATGTAATTTTGCCTAGTTCTACTCGCAGGGTGAAAACTCAGGATTTAGTCTTTGATTGAATCCGGAAACGGTGACACTTGTGTGTCCTTATCTTTCTAAAGACGTTGCTTTTGGAGAACCTTCTCGCAGCCTGTGTGTTGTCACGGAAGTGGTTGATGTTACTGTTGGTTACTGCATGCCTTAGATCTTAGTTTTTTTTTCTTCATTTGTTCTTGTTTTATTTTTTGGCTGTGTGCATCCTCGATGCCTCGACTTGATTGCGGCATTGTGTTGTTGCAGAGGTCGGGTGTACTTGATATCGTTTTGATATTAATATATTACTTCTTTCGTTCTAAAATAGATGACCCAACTTTATACTAACTCTAGTACAAATTTAGTATAAAGTTGAGTCATCTATTTTAAAACAGAAGGAGTACCTTTTATCGAAAAAATACATGGTGACGCCACCGCGCGCTCGTGGATCTAATTTATTCGCACTTGCTAGCTAGTTGAAGTGGTAGTAGTTAACACGGCAAGTTTTGCTGCGAGGGGGCTGCGCGGGCGCGCGACCGGCTTCCAAAAGCACTGGGCAACAAGTAAACCAAAATCAAATCCTCAGGCTGATTATCGGTCAGCATTTCTCAGCTTGCAGCCTTGAGATCACGTTTAGGTAGAGCGTCCAAGTACTACCTTACAATGAACCCATACATCCATTTCATGGCGTATGTTTGGGTGGGAGACACGGCATGCATGCATGAAAGTATACTTATGCGATGCGCGAAAATTGCCTTTGGTCAATGCTTAACCGCCACTAGAACTACTAACTGGCTAGCGACGAATCAAAGTCACCTGAGAGTCTGTTTCTTAGGAAGAGCTTCCTCACATTAATTTTCATGGTCAGCTTGATCGCTCTACGACAGGCCAACAACTTCGCTAGCTCCGGACCGGTAACTAGAGGGGGGAAAATGGCAAGCTCCCTCCAAGAAGCTTCCATGGTGGTCCCCGAGAACCACACCTCCGCTGCCTTAGACATTGCTCCATTGCCGTTAGGCGTTAGCTTTCACCCAGGCGGTGGCCAGTGCTGAATCGTTGACGTGCATGCTATCTACTCCGTATTATGGTTTGCCGGCCAGTGCTGAATCGTTGACATGCATGCTATCTACTCCGTATTATGGTTTGCCGTTGTCAAGCCTACCCACCAGCCTTGAATTAAGCATCATGTGGCGCATCTAACACTTACTCACGCTTTGTGAAGAAAGAATAAAGCTGAATTTATCTAGGGGACATGCTCTAGGTCTAGGGTGTGTTTCATACACAGGTGTGACTGAGGTTTCTCGATGAGTCGATGTAAATCCTTACATACTCGAAAGGAGATTATATCATGCATAGATGCTTCCTAAAATTATATCATTCATCCCTTGTCTCTCTGCTCCGGGCACCATGTTCACGCCTATTTGCGTTCGTGTCATGTGTTGTATCCCTATGTACTCATTCTATTCATTCTATCAATGGAAAGATACACAAGCTTTGCGTATTCGCGAAAAAATTATATCATGCATAGAGGAACCTTACAAATAAGCTCTAGCAAATTGCAGGGTTGATGATGGTTATTGATCACAACTGAAAGTACTCCTAAGTAGAAATCCCACACAAGAGGCTCCACATCTAGTACAAGAAAGTCACCATCACTCCATATTACTAGGTCCCACGCCAGGTCGCAAAAGGTTGAAAAATCCAAGAAAACTACTCTCCACGATGTTCCCAACACTTCCGAGTTCCAGCCCCATTCGATCATGCGCACGAAACGAACGCTCCGCGCAACCTCGAGTCCGGCACTAACACGGTGCTGGGCAAGAATAACAATGATACTCGGAGTACTGCATAAATGACAACCATTTTTTGTGTGTGCAGCCTCTAGCTCTCGGAGCCGCAACTACTCTTACGTAAGCACATACGGCTCATGGGTGCGTTGTGAATGCACTTTATGTGGGAGCGCATTTGCATTTGGTGGTTCAGTCAATGCTTAACCGCCATAACGACATTGTTAATTGATCTGAAGAGATGTGGACGGGTCTGAAAAGCGAGAATAAAGAAACTGAGTCAAGCTACGAGGGCTGGACCAGAACAAGCTTGCATTGCCAAATGGTCAAGTACGCGTGCACCGGACGTGGTGAAGGAGAGACGTGGACGATGCACTGGGGCGAATGGAACAACTAGGCGAGCTAGCACGCCACGGACAAGCGGTAAGTCCATTTTTGAAGGGAAACGTTTTTAACTAATCAATAAGATTTTTTAACATATACTAATCATAAAGATCAATTTATCCCCTAACTTCAATATTGGTGATAACATAAACCTCAAACTCTCGATCCAGTTTAAACTACCCGCTTGACCCTGCTAGAAACTGGTTTTAACATACGTGGCATAATTTGACAAAGTTAACTACCTTGTCAACATTGTGAATTGCCTTCCGCTTCCTTCTAATCCAACTTCAATGAGGTCACGACTGTGGAGGTGGTGGCGACCAGCTTGGACCCCAAACCCAGAGCTCGAGGAGGAGGACGACAAGCTGATGGAGGACAACATCATCCTCTCCACTCCATCAAGACTTACCGCGGGGAATAACGGGCCACCAAGGAGAGGCGCACGATGAAGGAGTCTGAGGTCTCATATAGCATGGAACAACTAGCTACCGATGAGCGTCGCACATTCATGGGGATCCAAGGTTGCCTATCGTCACAAGCTCCTCTATCCCGAGCACTGCATTGCCTACGACGATGAGTAGAAAAACTTGCAGGACGACATTGTCGTCGATGAGGAGGATGTTGCGACAGTAGGGGGGACGCAACAACGACAATGAAGAGTTACCAAAGATGGGGGACAACGTCCAACGACATCATCATCATATCCATTAACTCTGACATTGAGGCATAGGGCAACAGCAGAGAAGCTTATGCTAAGCTAAGCTTCTTTGTTTATACTTAGCAAGTGTTATATTTTATTTGTGTTTTATATAGGAGATCTTTAATTTGAGCTATGTTGAGTAGCTCAATTTATGGTAATTAATCGTTTGTGTTAGCTGTGTCGCATAATGAGTAGTTCAATTTAAGAAGTTGTGAGCTTCAGTTAATGCAACAATGGAGTTAATTATAAAGTTTACATTAATGATCAAGTGGAATGTTCATATGGATGCATAAAGCGGGAGGAAGTGAATTCAAGTG